CCTGGAACTAGTATCCTGCTTTCTCTTCCATACCTGCCTGTGAGGTTCTAATATAAACCACAGAAAAATGGGTGTTTTGGTGCACTCCTGTAATCCCAGCAATGGAAAGACTGAAGCAAGAGGGTTGAATGGAGTCCAAAGCCAGCCAGGGTTACATAGTGACTTCAAGGTCAGCCTGAATTAGGGACTGAGATCTTGACTTAAAAAAGAAAGTAAGTCTCATATTCCCATGGGGTTGAGGACTCCTGCACGTAGGCCACCTGGTGGCGTGGGAGCAAGAAGATGGGGCATGAGGCCTTAGGGGAGGACAAGTGCAGAGACACCCCCTCTCTCCTGTCCTGGCCCTGTCCCACATCCTCCTCATCATGAGGAGATTCCCCCAACGTGTCCAGCATCATCCAAGATGCACTGGTAACTATAGCCAAGGCCACGGAGCTCGGTCTTCTGTGTCGAGCCAGCTATTCCTACAGACACGGCAGTGGAAAAGAAGAGAAAGCACTGACAGTGATTTAGCAAATACTCTAGAGGAATCAGAAACTTTTTAGATCCTTGCAGATATATTACCGAGGAATATTTTAGCCAGTAAGCACCTGAAAATGCTTAAAGAGAAGAAGGAAGAGGATGATGAGGGGACAATGGTGATGTAAGTGAGGATGATGAAGCTGAGTTTTAACCAGAAAAGAAACCAGCCTTGGAGGACATTTCTAGAGAAGCACCGCACCTCTGAGGCAAGCATGGCCCTGTGTTCTTTGTGTTCATCACTTTCCTGTGACTGGAGCACCTTGCCTCCTTTTGGTCCCAGACAGCATCTCCCACATCTGCACTGTTAAGAACCCCAGGGAGAGTGATCCTGACTGCATCCTGTACGTGGCCTCCCCACAGCTGAGGTCATCAAGGGAGAATCCAGACCCGCGGCTCATATGGGCTCTGAGCTGGATGGGTGGAGACCACTGTGCTTCTCTTTGCAACTGGCAGCCCAGCTTTAAATAGCTTCTGAGTACTGTGCAAATTCATATGTATATTTTGAAATTATTTCTTGTAAACAGCTGGATTAAGTTTTAGCTAAATATGCAGTTCACAAGTAGTATGTGACTTTTGAAATTCAGTGTTTAACAATTTCACCTTTTGTTCAAAAAATTTTATTATAAAGAAATATGTTTTTTTTTTTTTCATGAGAAAGTACTTTCTAGAACTAGATTTAGGGATCTCTAGTCTTTTCATACCTTCACACTGCCTGAGAATTCAATGAAACTTAGAACCAGGCATCTATGGGTGGGAATGTACCTCAGTGGTGGAGGGGGTTCTCAGCGTACACAAGGGCCTGGGGTTGAGCCCCAGAAGCAAAGTAGCAACAACAGAAACCACTTTTGTTCCCAGAGAAAAACTGCAAGTCAAATATCAAATGAAATAAGAAAAGGAAATAGTAACCACCGGGTACAGTGTTACCTACCTCTAACTCCAGCACTTTGGAAGGCTGAGGCAAGACAATTTGAGATTCATGTCCTATCAAGACATTTAATTTTATTTTATTTTATTTTTGTTTTTTTTTTTTCTGGTACTGGGAGTCGAACTCATGTTTCTGGTACTGGGAGTCGAACTCATGACCTCAAGTTTGCTAGGCAGGTGTTGTGCCACTGAGCTAAATCCCCAGCCCGCTATCAAGTCATTTTAGTGGAACTGTGTGTCAAAAAAAGTTAAGAATGTCTACATACATTGTTTAGCATGAACACTTGAGGTTCAACCTGTAGCAACACACAAAAATATTTCCTCTGCAGAAATATGTTGTTCTTAAAACTGTGTTCTGTATCTTGAAGATACCTTTAATCTTGCTATATTTTGTTTTAAACCCCTAGTAATTCTTGCTACTTGTAGAAGAGAATACTGTTTAGCTTTATTATGCTTCATCTGCATAGAGTAAATGTTCAATTCTGACTTTTCAGTACGTCTGGCTTTATTTTCAAAGAGTGAAATTTTATATCTAGCTGTGATGGTGCATGCCTGTGGCCCCACCACTCCAGAGATTGAGGCAAAAGAATTGCCATGAATTCGGGGCCACTCAGACTACACAGTGAGACCCTGTCTCATAAAAGAAAGAAGCAAACAAAAAAACCTCCATTTTACGTTGAATAAAATACTTTTTGCTCTCAATCCTGAATTTAGTCAAATTCATATATTTACAGTTGTTTTCCTGTGGTCTCACTTTGTTGCCCAGGTTGGCCTTGAACTTCTAATCTTCCTGCCTTACTTTCCCTAGTGGGTGAGTGGCTGCCATCATGCCCAGACAGAAATGCACCAATTAGTACACAAAAACCACAAAATATTCATGATGCTAACTCTCCTTAATCCCTTCCTGCATCCCCTGGCAACCACTGATGTTTTCTGTATCTCTGGTTTAAATCTTTTTTTTTTTTCCTTTTTGAGACAGGGTCTCACTATGCAGTTCAGGGTAGATTTAAACTTAATTTGTCACCCAGGCTGGGCTCAAACTCACAGTGATCCTCCTGCCTCAGCATCCCAAGTGCTGGAATAGCAGAATGTGCCACCACGCCTTGTTTAAAAATTTTTAGTACAAAATTTACAGATTGCAATAAAAAAGTGACAAGAAAACAACATATGACAAGTCCAAAACAACTCATAAAAATACCATGTATGCACAAATTGCTTTTATTGTGTTTTTAAGATGTACTTTTTGAAATGTGTGTGTGTGTGTGTGTGTGTGTGTGTGTGTCTGCATGCGTGCTTGCGCTGTGTGTGTGTGTTTATATTTTGGGAAAGGTTTTGTTCAAGTCCAGGTAACTGGATTTTCTGTCCTTCTCCCTCTGTCTCCTGAATGGTGAAAGTCCTTGGACACTTTGCCTGACTGTGATCATTGGATTAGCTTATGACTGAAGTAGAAAGTAGAGATGGTAGCCACAACCCCTCCACTTGTGTTCAGGCTTTGGGAAGTGGTGAGTGAGGGGCTCTAAACACCCAGAGGCATCTCCTGGTTCAGGTCTGCATTTCTGGGTAGGATCCTCCTCCCAGCCAAAGATGAGGCAACAGAGCAGGTTCTGACTGGTGGCAGAACTGCTTCATTTCTTTCCCGACTTTAGGTTCCCAGGAAATTGCCTGCTCCAGCACTGAGACCAAGAGGGAGGGAAGATTGGATTAGGGGCTAAATGTCTGTGAGAAATGCAAGAATGGCTTGAGGGTTCAGATCCCTCGAAAGCAGGGTGTGGTGGCACATGCTATAATCCCAGTGCTAGGGAGGTTGAGGCAAGAGGGTTGCTATGAGACCAGGCTACATAATAAATTCAAAACTAGGTTGTGCTATAAAGCAAGACACTACTTGAAAGAAACCTTCAAAAATGGTTTAATACCTGAAAATTAAACTGTAATGAAAATGTGTGT